ACTTCCTTCGGGCTTATTACTTTCAAATAGGGTCCATCAACAAGCTGCCGAGCATCGTCACATCCAGCACCTCCTCCAACCACTTGGATGAGGCCATCTACGTCCTCGCGCACCCCCCCCCTCCCCCACCCCAGGGCAGGCGTATGGGGCTTAAGCTTGAATCCTGGTACCCGGACGTGAAGATCCTCTAAATCCCTATACACTATACACCCTATGAAAACCCTAAACCCGGCCTTGAGCCCTTGAGGGTTGGGAGTTTCACGGTTTAGGGTTTAGGGTTTAGGGTTTAGAGCTTGCTGGGTTCAGGGCCAAGGCCTTGTACACTCGCGTCTCGTTGGAGATGGCTTTGCCTGCTCGAACAGGCGGGTCGCGCCAATACCTGCGACACGTAAACCCCAAAAACTCCGATGAAAGCCAGCTGAGGCACAGAATGGAGAAACTGTTTTCCTACTCGCAGTGTCGGATTTCGCCTACATCGCCTACATCCCAAACCGGCTTTCTGAGTTGGAAGAGGGTCTCTTGACAGGCTTTCGGGAGAAGTACTTATCCTCAACCCTAAGCCCTCAACCTAAGGTGAGTTTCAGGGTTTATAGACCCAGGGATCAGTTTAGCATCTTTGCTTGATTGTTCCGCGGGAATAGAAAATGTTGAGGGTTGCAAGCATGCCGAAAACCTGAAGCTCAGCACCCCTCAAACCCTGGAACACGCGCACACACACACACGCAGAAAAATCGTATGGACTTACAAGGTCTGTGATGATCAAAAGCATGCTACCCTGGCCCCCTGCAAGAAACAAGGAACATGTGCAAGCTGACGAAAGCTTCCAAGAGCCCTTAGCTTAGAATCAGGGCTTCCGCACACCCACCCACCCACCCACCCACCCACCCACCCACCCACCCACCCACCCACCCACCCACTCAACCACCCACGCACCCGTGCACGAACGCACGCACGCACACACGCACGCACGCAGGCACGCAGGATGGCAAGCAGGTACGCGTGCACGCCTGCGCGCAAAACACGAAAGAAAGACCGTGAAGCCCAGAGACACCGAAACCAACCGAAGCACGGAGCCCCCAAAGTCCGGAAATGCCCGAAACCCATAAACCCCCGAAATGCCACATAAACCGTAAACATGAACAGCAAGTTCGGGTTTCAGGGAGCCTGTGTGCATGTCCTGCGAAGTAGAGATCGACATTGTACTTCCTGAGGCGATCGGAGGTTTCCTTCCTTTTGAAAACTGGCAGCGCCCATTCTCTGATTCTCTGAGGTGCAGATTAGTTTGTTCGTCCCGCTTTCGAGGCCCTGCGGTTCCCATCATGATGCCAATACCCTCTCCTCCGCTTCACAGGAGATGTCGCGAACAACTGCGATGTTCGCTTTGCCTCTCCACCTTTCATTTCGAATGTAGACTTCCTTCTCGTCGAGGAGTGCAGTATAGTTTGGAGGGTTTGCGGCTCCAGCATCCAGAGGGCGCAGGTGCAGCACTGCCATCGAATTCGCTACCCCCAGACCCTCCTTGGCATGATTTCTTGGGTACCTTGTTCCATGTTTGCACACCAAATGTACTTACAACGTAGGTTCTGCAGCCCTAATTACACCCCTTCACGCCGAAAACGACTTCGGGCTGTATCTTTCAGATGGCTCCTGGCGTTGACGGGTCGGGGTCCAGATCCGAGCTCAAGGCTCTTGAACTTGTTGGCGTGCGGCTGCGGAGGTTCTGGGTTCATACCTATAAGCTGTAACGAGGTATCCTTCCTGCAGTGAACTATATCACAGCCTACCTTTACCTGGGGCACCCCGAATATTTTCAGACCTAAAGTACAGTAGCAGGTAGCACTTGCGGGCACCCCTTTCTTCGGGGACGCCTGGCTGTGACCGTCGCTTCGGCCTCCTTGGAGAGCAAGACGAACCTCTTGCAGCCCCAGAACTCTACTCCCCTGTTACCCCCAAAAAACCCTAAAGCCCTTTTGTGGCCACCCCCAACAAGTCCTTATAAGCCCTGTCTGAATATAGATGCAGCCATGGCGCTCAAAAAGTTCGCTGACACCGGAGGACTTGATGCTTTTCTCGGCTGTGCTTTTTTGTGGCTTTCAGGGTGCGTGGGTTTAGTTTCCCTACACCCTGAACCCCGACACGCTGTACCCCTAAACCCAATTAACAAAGCCTTATAAACTCCCTGACCGTCCTAAAACCTGATGCCAAATAAACCCATGTTCGCTTCAGATTCTGCGGGTTTTGGGAGTGGAGGCTTCGTGTTTCGAGTGAACCCCACCAGTTGCAGAAGCTGCGGGAAACACCAACCCTTGCTTAGCTTCACCACACAACTGCTGTGGTCATCGGGACGTCATATGTTTAGACGAATTTTGATCAGCTCAGCGTGTGAACTGCACATGCCTGCTCGCGAAACTTATATGTCCAAGAGTTAGTACCAGACCGCTTCTTCGAAGGAAGAAGTGTCCCGGGATCACCCAAGCTCACAGTATCCCATGGACGGCGGACGGTCTGCAAAAGGTCAGGCGCGAGTATGTGCTTGAGAGAACTAGGGCCACAAACACCAAACCTGAATCCTAAACCCCAAGCCCCACACCCTGAACATCAAACCCCTAAACCCTCAACCCTAACCCCTAAAACCTAACGCCCTATATACACTGCTCAACCCACAGCCCCCAAACCCTACACACAGCACCAGCCTTTGCGCTTCCGAGGCGCCAGTGGGCGGTGACCGCCCGCAATGATCCATGGCCTGTTTCGGGCTGTTGAGGGCTCTGAGTTGTTCAGAGTTTATAGGGTTTAGGGTTTAGAGCTTAGGGTTTATGGGGTTTAGGGTCTAGGGTTTAGGGTTTATAGCTTAGGGTTTCGAGTGTAGGGTTTGAGGGGCTGGTAGGTTTCGGGGTTTAGCTCTGGGAGGGTTTAGGTTTGAAGGGTTGGGGATTGGGGCTTCGGTTCTTGCGGGGGTTAGGGGTTAGGGTTTGTGCATGCTTTCTGGTGATTTTGCCCTTAGCTAGCGTGCCATAAACCTCACGTCAAAGATGCGAAGAGAGTCTCTGGACATCCGAAAAGACTTGCAGCCCAAATTGCCAATAGCAAGGCCTTGTCATATTCTCAACCCTAAGCCCTACCCAAAACAGGCCATCACCCCAAACCCCCTCCTTATATATCCTTAAGCCCGAACTCCGGCCATTGCACCCTTGTATACCCTCAACCCCGAATTCCGACCCTTGAACCCCTTACCTAGACGCTGGACTCGAAACCACAAAAGGATCGAGATCCCCAACAACCCAAAGCACCAAGCCCTAAAACCCGAACAATATAGGGACCTTAATAATTAGAATAGGGTTTGTGGGGTTCTTATACCATAACAATAAAGGGAAAACAAGGGAATACGATTAGTATATGATTCCGACCCCTGTATTACCCCTCCTTTGGAGTAAACCCTGGAAAAAGCAGATACGTTTTAGGCACAAGTAGCTCTAACAAGAACCCAGAACCGAAAAAGTATTAAAGTATAGTACTCCAAAACCCAGTTGCACAGACACCCCCACCTCTGACCCCTAAATCCCCCTAAATCCCTCATCCCTAATCCCTCACCCTGAACCCTAAACCCCAAAACCCAAAACCCAAAACCCAAAACCCTAAACCCAAAACCCAAAACCCAAAACCCTAAACCCTAAACCCTAAACCCTGAACCCTAAACCCCACCTCTGCCCTGACTGTCTTGCGGCAACGGCTTCCTTGAGGTCCGCCTGGGGCATAGGGTTTAGGGTTTGGGGTTTAGGGTTTAGGGTTTAGGGGGTTCTTGTCATTGTAGGGTTTCAACTAGAGTTTTCAAGGGCTTAGGGTTTCTTGTATGGTTTCAACTAGGGCTTTCAGGGGCTTTTAATCAGCTAGGGGTTTTCAAGAAGGCTCAACTTAAACCCCACCCAGCGTTTAGGGCTCAAGGATGTGGTCTTGAGGGCACCGGAGGACGTCGGCTTGAGGGATTTCGGGTTTCGGGCACATAGTCTGGGATTTAGGGTTTCGGGCTCAGGGTCTGGGATGTTTTTCGGCTTATGGTCTGGGATTTAGGACTTAGGGTTTCGGGTCTTAGGGAATAACGGGCGTAGGGGTCCAGAGTTGAAGGCTTCCCGTGCGCATAATTACCATGTAAATCTACTTCGCGGACGCCATTCACCAATATGCATGTCCAAAGCGCTTCACTCCCATCAGAGAACCGGTTGGGTTCTTTAGCAAGACCCGAGGTAAAGACCCACAAACTCCCCAAACCACCAAACCCAAGAGCCCAAACCCTACCTTGCGGCCGAATAAACTTAGTTGCTGACTTCATAAGCCCCAAACAAGCGTACACTTTCAGTTCCATAGATGGTTCTAGTATCCGAAAAAATGTAAAGTGTACTCAATCAGCTACTAAGTAAAAGCGTTCGAGACCCCCTTAGCTCCTGCCTCGAGCCACTTCAAATACTCGCCTGAGCAGCAATGGTCGGGTTGTTGAGGCGTAGGGTCTAGGCCCAAACCCGAAAAACCTAAAAAACCTCAAAACCCTCAAACCCTAAGAAAACCCTAAACCTTGAAGGTGCATTGGGTTGTTTGGGGCTTCAGGTTTTAAGGCTTCAGGCCCCAAGTTAGGGCGCGAATCGGTTCACAGCTTTGGGGCTTTCCGGTGAGGGTGGGTGGGGTTTCGGGTTCACGGTTTAGGGTTTCGGGTGTGGAAAACCGGGGTAACCTGTCATCCATTGGTATACAGAGTTCCGGGGTTCTGGGTTGAGGTTTACAGCTCGCAGGCCAAGGTTGGGAACCGAGATGCCGGGAGGAGGTACAGGTAAGTGCGCCGAAGGTCTGTTTCTCCTGAACCCTACAACGAAAACAGCCCACTCACCAAGTTCTGACACCACGAAAACAGCCCACTCACCTCAACCCCCAGAACCAAACCCTGAACCCCAAACTGCCCTGTAGGCCTGTAAACCCCAAACCCTAAACCCTAAACCCTACACCCTTGTGGGCTAAAGATAGGCCTGACGCCTCCGGGAGTCCCGGCCGTCCGCGCCAAAGTGGCCGGCCTTCAGCCAAGAGAAGTGGCCATCGCCTGGTTCTTTCAGGTTCGCAACGAGGGCTTATGGGGTTTATATGATTTATGTGGTTTATGGGGGGGGGGGGGGTTATGGGGGGGTGTATGGGGTTTATGAGGTTTATGGGGTTTTTGGGGTTTTGTGTGGTTTTTAGGGTTTGTAGGGTTTTAGAAGGGATTATAGGGTGTAGGGTTTATCGGGTTTAGGTTCTTGAAGGGCGCTTCAAGAAGGGTGCTTTTCACAATTGTTGAGGGTTGAAGATTTCTTTATTGGTTCTTTAGAGGGTTCAACAAAGTAGGGTTCAGGGTTTTGTTAGGTTGTTAAGGGCTCGAGATAGGGGGTTGGGAGTTGCATGGGGTTGTTTAGGGGTTTAGGGCCTTTACATTTTCGGGCAGTTTGTTTTCAAGCTTAGTTGTAGGTTTTAGGGCCAATTAAGATTGTGAAGGTTTGGGGGTCTAAGGAGGGCCGTTGGTCATTTAGGAGCCACAGAAAATGCAAATGGCTTCTTGGGGTTCAGGGCTTGGTTCTGGGTTCGCAGAGAAAGTTGTAGAGCTGTTGGAGTTTGCAGGATTGCCTTGTTCGGTCTTTGTGATGCGTTTCAATTAGGGTTGAGGGCTTTTAGAGCTTGAGGGTGTTGGTTTTTCTTTAGGGTTCATGAGGCGTGTTTAGGGTTTAGTTAAGTCCGGTTGGGTGTCTGGGGATCATGATTGGAGAGTCTTAGCATTTGGGAGGTCTTGCTGGGGGAGCTTTCGGGGAGGCTTTCAGACGACTTCACGCTCGGGGATTCGGAGGGGCTTTCTGCCTGTGGGTTCCAAGCTCATGAATCGGATCCTTAAGAAACACAGGGCTTCCAGTTTGGAAGGCTCAGCTTAGAGGCTTACGTAGGGTTCGGGGTCTAGAGGCTTTGAGGGTACTCATTAGAACACGTAAAGTGCAGGGTGCCAAGAAGTGCACACAACTTCCCACCACATTCGCTCCCTGATTGGAATCCTAACCCAACCTGATGGTGGTGAGAGCTCCAGAGAGGGCGAGGCCATCGAGCCGTTCTTAGGGTAGTTACATCCCTAAGAGTCCATGTACCTAAAAAGTATATACTTGGGCCTTAAAGGGGTTCCTATATAGTAGCTTTATCGCCCAAGTATATACTATGTAGGTACATGGACCCTTAGGGCATGGTCCCTTAGTACGGGCGCCTTAACAGAGTGGAAGCCCTAAGACGCAATGTCCGGGTTCTCCACCCAAATCTTTAAAAAAAAAAAAAAAAAAACCGGCAAACCCCCCATCCATTCCACCTCTCCCAAAAAACCCCCCTCAAAGAACACATCCCCCCCCCCCCCCCCTTCCCAAAGAAACCTTCAACAAATTAATATTGGCCAAACATCAAACTTCTACCCCCCAAGCCCTCACCCCAATAATAGGAATCACCATGTCAATAATAGTTCAAGATTCAATGCGCACTAAGCCGCCTGTCTTGGTCTCCTCTGCACCGGGGAAGTCCGTCTCCGTGTTGATGGAAATGAAGTGGACCGGTCCGACCTCGTTGCTTTGCAAAAATGCTACTCCTTCTTGGTCTCTTTGACTTAGCAAAACAACCCCACCGTGGCAGCGCCAAAAGGCACCCTCCCTCAACCCGAGGCCCAAAAGCCCCAACGAAGGGCTTCATGCAGTTATTCAATGGGCATCTTGGGGATGGCAACTATTTAGGCTCCCTTGCCATGCACACTCCTGGGCAGTCCGCATTGAAGCTGTACCACATGTTGGCCCTTCCTTGGAACAGGATGATTTCGGAGTTCGGGTTGTAGCACAGACTACCCAGCCAAGACTAGAGAGCTGTGCAAGTTGAGGCATTGCTTGGCTTCCAGATGCCCTAAACCTTAAATAAACCCTAAACCCTAAACCCTCAACCCTGAACCCTAAGCCCTGCAGGGCGGTCTGCCCACAACTTCTAAGAGGTGCCAAGCTTCCGCCACTGGTCTTGGAGGGCATGTGCCACCGGTGGTTGTACCTCACTCAAAGGATCCCATGTACCTATATAGCACTTGGGCCCTAGAGCTGCTATATAGGAACCCCTTTGAGGCCCAAGTATATACTACATGGTAGGTACATGGATCCTTAGGGTCAAGGACCCAGGGGTGGACCCCAGACTTTCAATTCGGGTTTGGTGCTTTCGGGCTTGGTGTCTTTTGTCAGGACGCTGTCCGAGACCTGCTATTGAAACCTCCAAGCCCGTGCCCTAGACCCTAAATGGGCTGCCGCAACACCCCAAACCCTACATCTCGCTACCTCAGGCGACGTCCACAGAAAATGTGATTTGTAGAGATTTGTCAACACCAAACCAGTTCACGTCGCACAATGCTTCCCTTTTCCTTGAGACATCCTGGCCGGCTGTACAAGACCGAACACTCAAGAGCGCAACAAGTCTCAGTAAAAGCACTCCCTCAGCTTGACAGAGTGGAGATGTTTGTTTCGAGCGATGGCAACTGCACCTGCCACCTCTTTAAGAACCCTTTGGTACGATCTCAACCGTTCCGTCAGGGAGCGGCAAAGCGGGAGGCTTGGAAGGCCGCTGTGGCATAGCATTGAGAGACAGTCCTGGTGGGCTGAAGATCTTGCTCACAGGTACACCCCGATGTTCTACTGGCGGCATAACAGAACTCCTTTGTGCTGGGCTAAAAACGGGGCCTCTTTTGCCCACAGGTACACCCGCATGTTGGACCGGCGGCATGGCGGAACGCGCGGAAGGCCCTGGCACACCAAGAGGTGCTCCTGGGCTCAGTCTCCATGGGACATACATGTCTTGGATAACGGCACCTGATTTGCCCACAGGCACGCCCCGACGTTCTACTAGGCTCACATTGAGATGATCTTCATTTGCCTGAAGCAAGCGTAAGACTTCTGCAGTGCCTTTGGCGTCTCCCAATTTCAGCTCCAAGGAGTTTTCCTCCAAGACCTGGAGCATTGGAGGACAGAGCTGCGATCGTGTACACATTTCATGCCAAGCACTCAGACGAGGAGCCGGAGAAGCCACCACTCGATGCACCCCGCCCTTGAGGTGTAGAGTTTCGGCGGCTCTTCCGGCCCAAAGAACGCCATGCCCAGCTGGTGCAGCGCGCCATTCTCCAACAGCATCTTGTAATTCCAAGCCAGGAACTGCACATGGCAAGCTCAAGATCAACAACCCGGGATCGACATGGGGAGAGACGACCTCTGGGGGGCTCTCCACGCCCATTCGATACCTCACTACATCTAAAAGGCCATACTGTCTCAAGCTACCATGTTCAGGGCACAGCAGGGGGATATCCAAGTACTCTCCGATGTCTTCCCCCGTGCTAAAGTGGAGTGCAGGGGCCAAGGCTCGGATCACATCCCTCTGCGCTTCATCCATGTCCAACGCCAAGCGGGCGAGCTTCTCCTGGATGTTTCTGGGCACTTTCTCCATATCAGCCTTCAAGCATGAACCTGTGACCACTCGCAGACCATCCTTGTGTGCTGCACTAAAGTGTCCCTCCATGGCATGTGGACTGCCGCAGTTGGGAAACTTTTCCAGAAAGTCACCGATTTCCGCCAGGCTCTCATTGGTTTTCCAAAGGCTATCATCAGTGCCACCCATGGCCACATCACCTCTACTGGGCTTCTCGAACTCCAGCCATGCAAAGCCATGATCCTTCAAAGCGGCGGCTGTCGCCTTGACAGCTGCAGATTCGCCGTGCCGAAGTCCTGACAAACTCACCCGGGGCACATCTTCCACCCTGGGCTCTGGCTTGCGAAAAGGGCTCCTGAGAAAGCTGAACAAGTTGGAGCTGGGTTGAGGAGCTGCAGGTTGACCCGGTGCTTTGCCCATCATCTTCTGCACATCCAAGTCTCCTACAACACTTTGAGCCTGGGAATTCTCTCGATGGTATGGACAGAGTCCATCAGAATCGACTGTTTCTGGACCTGGAGTGTGTGAAAATCCGCCATTTCTGGGCCCAAGCTCTTTGGTGCAAACCCATTCCAGGAAACCATCTGGGCCACCGCACGCAGTGAAGTTCATCAGCGCGCGGCCGAGGAAAGGATCCAAGATCTCGGGGGGAGGTATCGACCCCCAACCCCCGCAACAAAAAGAATAAAACACAACATAAGCACCGACAGCCCACCACAACATAAGCACCGACAGCCCACATAAAACCCGAGAATCTCAAACTACAACCCCAAAGTCTGAAAGCCAAAGGCCCGATTCCTTACACCAAGCCCTCAAGCCTTTTGTTCGCATCTGCTCCCTATCAAAGCACCGGGCTCCTTTAGATCTGCTTGACCTAGTAAGCCCAAAAGAAGACCAGGGTTTGCATGTGGGGCCCTAAACCCTAAACCCTAAACCCTAAACCCTAAACCCTAAACCCTAAACCCTAAACCCTAAACCCTAAACCCTAAACCCTAAACCCTAAACCCTAAACCCTAAACCCTAAACCCTAAACCCTAAGCCCTGAACCCTAAACCCAATAGGGGTGGCTTGAGGTCTGCGGCTTCGTTTAGGTTTCAGGGTTTCGGGTGGTTGGGGTGGAGGGCTGCAGGGCTTGGTAGCTTAGGGCTTTTAGGCAAAAAGCGGTGCTATGAACTTCAGGTTGCAGAACTCGGGTTTCGGCTTTTGGCTTATAGGGCTTGGGGCTCAGGGTTTAGGGTTTAGAGTCTTCTGGCCTGTTTCAGGTACACTGGTCCGAGATTCGCTGAGAGGATGAGTTCATAGGGGTTGCAAACCCACTTAGGCCTTGCGGTTTGAAGGCCGACTTAGGATTTAGGATGTTAGCTTAACTTAGAAACATGAGCCCGGAGCCCAGAATCCAAGACTGAGGCTTAGACTAGTGCTTTTTTTCGAGTAAACGCATACTAAGAGTTAGCCGCGACAAGCCACCACACGGGGGACACCCCCAGCCCTGGCTTCTCTAAACCCTGCGCGTGCAGGGTTTAGAGCCACCGGCCACAATGCGTCTTTCGTCTTAAGCCGCGCAAGAACAATAAATGGATACTCGGACGTCGGCCGCCTCACCCCAGAATACCAACTACACTACACGCTTCGAGCACCCTAAACGAGTAAGCCCCCCAAAAAAAAACTAAAACGCCACCTACGCCCCAAGGCGGGATGTTCCCCTTTACACTACCTTACACTAGCAGTCCTTCATAGGCATTGTAGTACTCCCCCCCCCCCCTTGTATAATCCCTATGAAAGACTGTAGTGCAAGGGGGAAACATCCCAAGCCCCAAGCCCTGAGCCATCAACTCCCATGCTGCTCTGGCACACAGGCGGGGCTGTGACACTCCGACTCGTGGTTGCCTGTGGCAATCGACCACAAGTCGACTGGCAATGGATTTGCGGTTTAGGGAGCAGGGTGACATGTGTTTAGAGGGGATCATGATCATGAGAAGATGAGGTCTAGCGTTTTTAAAGTTTAGGAAATTGGGGGCAGGGGGGGGGGGGGAGTGAGGTCCTGTAGGGTTTCGAACCCAGGGTGTGGCTTAGCTTGACTGGAGGCTTCCCACTCTGCAGTCTGGGACCTCTGCAGACATTGCTTGCTTCTTTGAACGAAGGGCCTTGGGGTTTGCAAAGGGCTTTTGGGTGTACGAGCCGTGCCAAAGACTCCAAACCGACTTAACTAACTCCCCCCCCCCCCCACTAAAGCCTCAAAACCCAGAACGAACTTTTTTCTCAGCTTATCGAAAGGCTAAACCCCAGCACATTGGGAGCTCAGCTGGGGACCCCCCCCCCCCCAAGCCCCGCCCCCCCCCCCCAAAGCCACCCCCCCCAAAAAAAAAAATGATTGTCAAGAACAGTCTAGAATCCCTAAGCCCTACACCCAACATCGCTCACACAGTTAACACAAGCATGGGCTTGGGGTTCAGAGTTCTTGGGGTTTAGGGTTTAGGGTTTAGGGTTTAGGGTTTAGGGTTTAGGGTTTAGGGTTTAGGGTTTAGGGTAAAAAAGTGACACGCGCACAAACAAGCGCTAGGGGAGCCCTGGGCCCCCGCACCGACAGACACCATGTAGGGCATGATGGACGTCAAGTTCTGCAGCCAGTTCATGTACCCGTTGTAGGCCTGAACCCTAAACCCTAAATCCTAAACCCTAAACCCTATATAACCCTATAACCCTAAACCCATGAAGAGCACAAGCCCTCCGAGACCCCAAGCCCCAAGAGCCGAAACTATAGGCCGGGGGCTAAGAGGTTGTTGCAACGGAGCTGTGCACCCCAAACTTGGAGCCCTACACCCGAAACCCCCAGTCAGCGATTTAAAGTTTAGGGTCGAGGGTTTAAAGTGTAGGGTTTCGGGATCAAAGTTCTTCAGGGACTGGGTGCAAGTTTTATAAGGGGGGTGTAGAGACCCTAGCAAGTTTTCCGGGATCCAGCAATGCAACTGTCCAGCAAGGTCTCAAGCGCCCAGAGTTTGGGGCTTAGGGTGCAAGATGGTGCAAGGAAATTAAGACCAAAACAGCCCGGTGGGTCCAGGGCCCGGGTTGCTGGAAGAGCTGAGAGAGTGCTGCAACCCTGAAGCACTGCACACTGCATGCGCGTGTGGCCTCCTCGTACGTGAACCTGGTCGTTCACAAGGGGGTTCGGGCCCAGACCTCTTTTGGGGATTGGGGCACTCTAGAGCATGGAAGCTGTGTTCAAAATCTCGGGTCTGAAGATTGGGTCTAAAGCTTATGAAGGTTCTTGCGAGTTGAGGTTTTAAGGGCTTGGGGTTGCGGGTGTAGGGCGCCAGCAGCTGGAGTTGCCCCGCTGAAAGATGGGCTTGGGCTGTGTCGGGCGGCAAAAGAACTCTTAACTTCTTCACCGCCTAATCTAGAGGCCTATTCACAAGAATGGTTTAGGGTTAGGGTCTAAGCTCCTTGAAACTACTTTGCTACATGGGGGTGGCAGGCGTACAGTATGGGCAGTCTTTTGTCCCACCCCCCTCCCCCCCCTCCGGCCCCTAGCTACGATCCCAATGCCGTCTACACCCAAGTCCCCGCAACCTCCCAAAGGCCAATGGACGTTTTGGAACCTCCTGCTCAGGAGAAGGGTCTTTCGGGTTGGGCTTTCCAGGGCTTGGGGTTCAGGGTTGAGTCATATAAGCTTACGGGCCTTCAAGTGTTAGGGTTCGGGGTAAACCGCGAGCCACACGTGTACGTAAACCCTCTACCCTACAACACTAAACCCGACACGCTAAACCCTTGACAAACATCACAGGCTACGAATTCCGGTATGCTTGTCACAGCTTCGCTGGGGGGGAAGCCTATAGGCTGCCCAGTTGCAAGATTCCCTATGAGTTTTAGGGTCTTTAGGTTTAGGGTTTAGGGTTTAGGGTTTAGGGTTTAGGGTTTAGGGTTTAGGGTTTAGGGTTTAGGGTTTGGTTTAGTCCAGTATTTCCCGTCCCTGAGCCATGTACTACAAGCATCTCTGAAAAGATGTGGACTCAGGGGCCGGTTTAGGCTTGAGGGTTGAGGGATCCCCCCAAGTGAGGATTCGTTGGGCCTCACTAGCGAGTGAGCGTAGGAATCGTCCACGTAGCCAATGTCACCCACATGCCAGATGAAGTCCTTGGTAGCAAAGCCCTCCAAACACACCATGCGCGCTGAGACCCTACAAGCCGTCTACAACAAACCTTGCAACCCTAAACCTTAAACCCTAAACCCCAATCCCAAACCCCCACCACAAGGCAACAAGAGCAAAACCAACCTTCTGAGCTCCATGTCTACACATGAAGTTCAGGGTCCAGGATTTAGGGAAGCCCTACAACCCCTAAACCCTAAACCTTAAACCCTAAACCCTAACTCCGGAAATTCTTAACCCGGCAAGGCGCTCGACGGTAAGTCCAGGGATTAAGGTTTTTGGGGGTTCAGGGTCAAGCGCAGCAGCCTGGACCTAAACTCTGGCTGCGTGTGTAGAAATATTCCTCCTGGTTCGGGTCCGGGTTTTGGGTGTGCGGGGCAGGAGTAGCCGGGTCTGTGGAGATTTGGCTCTGGGGCTTCAAGGTTTGAGGGCTTGGAATTTGTAGATGTTGAGATCCCTAAACCCTGAACTAGTGTCAGGGTTTGGGTTTAGAGGGCATGAGGTCAAAAGATGCATCTGGGCGGCGATAGCCTTCTCATCTTTCCTGCGCCAGATTTTGAAAGGGCTTCTTGAAGAACGGTTGCAAGAGGGTGGTTGGGCGTCTTGTAAACAGTATAAGGGCTTACGCGAGCCTCTTATTCAGAGAAACTAATGCTTCCAGGTTACGATCATTTAAGCATAGGGCTTGGGGTTTCAGATTTGTTGGCGCAAGGTCTTGGGCTTCAGGGTGATCGGCGCGACTTTCCAACTCCAGAAACACACTGAAGTGGGTAGCTCGGCACTTAACTTAACTACCCCATCAACAGACCGTGGCTGCCCCAAACTCATGCCCACATGTATGCATATACATACATATATCTATGTATATAGATATACATGTTTATGTTCCACGTTCATTTGGTACATGTTCTAGGGTTCAAGCTTCGAGTTTAGGGTTTAAACTCTAGCGGCCCATTTAGCCAGAATTGGTATTTTGGCGCAGTGTTTCTATACACTATAACTCAAGTGGACAATTTGATTGTCGAGGCTGCAGGATTTTTGAGTAGCACTGCAGGCAAAACCTAACATAGCTCTGACTCCAGAAATCAAGTTTTCAGAGGTTGAAATTCTGTAAGGAAACAGGCATGCTGAAGGCGCGGAGCAGGGCAGTGTCTTGAGCAAACCCCTTTCCTCCCCCACCGCTACATACTGTGCGCGCCAAAGCAATCGAGCCGAACCTCCGAATTTATAGCTCCCCTTCGGTCTCTGGGACGTCAAAGCTTCTGAAATTCGATAGCTG